GCCAATGCAAAAGAACAGAAAAATAGAAGCTGCTTTTATTTACAGATATGTAATATATATTTTAGTCTATTATTCTGAAGTTGATTATATAGTATTCAATGATAATTTATAAGAAAAAATTCATTGCCAAAAGGCATTGACCAAAGTCATGAATAAAAAAAGTACAAGATCTGAAGTTATACACAATAAATTTAAAGTAACACTTGAAGCTAACTGTTACTCCTGGTATATGAAGAGATTTTTAGGCTATTTAAAACCTATCCTCCCAGCTAGAGTATAAGAAGCACTTTTGGGAGGTGCCAGCCTTACTAATAAGGAGCTAAGACTTGTGAAAATGGCTGTGTCCACCTGAACCTTTGTTTACATTGATATAACTCACAGGATGACTGGGATAATTACTGGGATATGGAAACACTCAGAAAGAGAAAGCATTTGGCTGCAGAGATGGCTAAATGATCAAGAGCACTGGGTGGTCTTCCAGAAGACCGATAAAGATTCCCATTGTCCAAATAGCTGCTCATAGTCATCTATATATCTAGTCCCAGGGTAACCAATAGCCTCTCCTGGCCTCCAATGACACCACACACATATGTGGTGTAGAGATATACATACAAGCAAAACCCATAGACATAAAAAAAAGGAAATTAATTCATTACAAAGACCTTGTTATGTTTTTCTTTATTTAGTGAGAAAATGGAAACATTATGTCCTAGTCTGATTCCTACTAGTGCTATAAACAACACAAACAAAAGCATTTGGAGAGGAAAGGCTTTATTTCATCTTACAGCTGAAGGAACACAGGGCTGGAACTAAAGATAGGAAAATGAAGGTAGGAAGTGGAGAAGCTATGAAGGAATGTTGCTTGCTGGCTTGTTCCTCATAGCTTGTTCAGCATGCTTTTTACATATCACAGACCAACAGTCCAGGGATAGCTCTACACACAGTGGGATGGACAATCCTAACACTATCTTAATCAAGAAAATAACACACTTCTTTGAAAATAATGTTTGATGGGCTCAATGAATCACAGAAATCATAAAGTCTTACAATACTCATGTAAGAAAATATACTTAAAGAGTATGTATCTGCAGAAAGAAGGAAAACAAAATATGTACTATAATATATAGTCAATAAATCATTTAAAGAAAGCCAAGAAAAAAACAATCAAACAGGTGAATGAAATGGTTCCATATTGGACAACTGAAATAGAAACAATACACAAACTGAGGGAATTCTGGGAATGGAAAATCTGGGGTCGTGAATTAGAGCTACAGATGCAAGATCACTAAGAGAATGAAGAGAGAAAAACAGAGTACCAAGAGTGGAAGATACAGTAGAGGAAATATTCCAATCTTCAGCCAAAGAAAAATTCCTACCACAAAACCTCGGGCACCATGAAAAGAACAAACCCAAGAATAATAGGGATACAAAATAAGAATTCCAGCTAAAAGGCACAGAAAAGATACTCAACAAAATCATAGAAAAAAACTTTCCCAACCTAAAGAAGGAAATGCCTATATAAGAAAGTTACAGAACACCAAATAGGCAGGACAAAAAATAATAATAGTAATCAAAACACTAAACACACAGAATATACAAAAAATTTTAAGAGATGTAAAGGAAAAAATCAAGTAACATATATAGGCAGATGTGCCACAATTACAGCAGACTTCTCAACAGAGACTCTAAAAGCCAGAAGGTCCTGGACAGATGCCTTTGTGGACACTAAGGGATCATGGATGCCAGCACAGACTATATTATACCCAGCAAAACTTTCAATCAACATAGATAGAGAAAAGAAGATATTTAATGACAAAACCAGATTTAAACACTACCTATTCACAAATCCAACACTACAAAAAGTACTAAGAGGGAAAATTCAGTTACATCCATGAAAACATAGGCAATAGATAATCTCACAACAGCAAAACCAAAGAAGCAAAACACACATACTACCACCACCTCCACAAAAAAAAAAAAAAAAAAAAAAAAAAAAGTAACAAGAATTAACAATCACTGGTCAGTAACATCTCTTAGTATCATGGGACAAAATTCACCAATAAAAAGACACAGGTAACAGAATGATACAAAAACAGGATCCATCCTTCTGCTGCATACAAGAAACACTTCTACTTCAATGTCAGACATTATATCAGAGTAAAGGGTTGGGAAAAACTTTCCAATTAAATAGACATAAGAAACAAGCTGATATAGCTATCCTAATATCTAACAAAACAGATTTCAAAGTAAAATTATTCAACAAATTTGGAGAAGGACATGTCATAGTCAAAGGAAAAATCCATCAAGATGAAGTCCCACTTCTATGACCCAAATACAAAGGCACCCACATTTGTAAAAGAAATATTACTAAAGCTGTGAAAAATTCAATCTGTATGGAGGGATGAAGATCTTCGCTGGATGCAGTTATGTTTCTCTGCATAGGAATCTTCATTTAAATATTCCTTGGATGCACATATGATGACATAAGTAGCTAGAATTCTGTGGGTTTTTTAAAAGTACTCAACTAAAAGTAACACAGGAAAACAGAAACATCTGTATAGAAGAAAAAGAGTAACTTTACAGTTTTATAATTCCAACTGTAGAGAATTAGCCAAGGCCCTCACATATGCTGGACAAGTATTGTACTAGCACTTCTTATGTCCAAAAGGAAATCTCACTATGTCTCAAATAGGAGTGATTCTGCATAGTAAGAAATATTGACAATGCCCATCTTATAAGGGATGCTGGGATACTGTAATGCACATGATCTCCTCAACAACCAATTATCTGTTATAAAATATCTAAAGTGCTAAGACTAAGAAATCCTGATATAGAATAAAAGACGCTAAAGGTTACAAACTGTGCTTTAGCTGCAACACTAGAGAGAGCAGGCCCTGTGTCTCACCTGGGCAACACAGCAGAGCCAGCACTGTTGGTGCAGGTGTGGGTGGGAGTGAGTGGTAAGTGTTGGAGAGCTTTCCCTACTTCTTGTCTGTCATGTGGCAGTACAGGCAGATGAGAGATGCCCCCCTCTTATACCTCACCCTTACCACCTGCAGCACTCAGGAAAGTGCGCTGTGCTCCTGGCCTAGGCAGCACAGAATAACTGACCCTGTTGTCAGAGGTGTGAGAGACTCAGTCCCAGTGTTGCAGGGGAGGGCTGTCCCTGTTACTCATTTAACAAGTCGCAGCATGGGCAGAAGAAAGATACCCTTCCCCGGCCCCCCACCATCGACACCTGGGACAGGTGGAGGAGCTGGCCCTGGTGTCATGGAAGCAGGCAGGATATCTCTGCCCTTCCCCAGCTACAGCACTCAGGAGAGTGGTCCCTGTAATCGCCTGGGAAACGCGGTGGAGCTGGCCCTGAAGATGTGGGAGAGCAAACCCTGAGGATCTAAAGGTAGGAGAACTGGCCCTGCCCCTTGTTCAAGGCAACAAAGGGTGAATTAACCAAGGCAGTGCAGGAGCATTTACCCTGATGGTGAGGACAGGGGGGAACTGGAGGTATATACTCAACCCTGCAGGTTCCTAGGCCCACAACCAGGATTATAAATTGGCCAGCCTCAATTACCTCCCCCCAATATATGAACTGCTGGGCCATATAAAGGGGCCTGACCCGCAGACCTAAAGCTGCAGGATCTCCACAACACAGTGCAACAATAGGATATCCAAGAAGAGACCCAGTGAGGGCCCAGCATCTATAGTATAGTAGAACCCAGAGGCCTTGAACCAGACCAATGACTCTTTGCAATGAACACTTGCAAGTAAAGAAATAGGGACAAAAGGGTTTACTGTGTGACTCATTGTGTCACACTACAGCTTTCATGATGAGGTTTTCATTCCCCCACCCAATTCTTTTTTGTCTCTTAAATTTTGTTTTATTTGGGGAGGGGGCAGGAGTGAATGGATGGGGAAATGAATGGGCTCAAGATGCATGATGTGAAAGACACAAAATAAAAAGAAAGCAAAAAAGAAAAAAGAACCACGGTTTATTAAAAAAGTACACACTATTTGCAAAACAGTGATAATTGGTGAACTAGACTGTTATCTATTTCCCATCTATGTGAACAGGAAGAATTGAGAGTGGGAGTTGGAACTCTTGCTGTTAAATACTAAGCCAGTTCTATAGCCACACTTTTAAATCTCAATGATACTACTCATATTAGCTAACTGCAGATAACACGTTTCCATTTATACCAAAAACCACTTGGTAGTATTGTAATGGGAAATGGTGTTCATGTGTTCACTTACCCTTCTAAGAACAAAAAATAACAGACTAAATTTCTAAGAAAGGGAACCATAACGGAAAGAAAGTTGTAAGAAACAAGCATCCATTTGAATAATGCTTGAAATGTTCCATAGTGGAAAAAATATGAGTTAATAATGCAGAGACTGAAGAAATTCTAGTGAACTCTGCCAGCATATTAAGAGGTCTAAACTAATTCTGTGTGTCACAGAAATGAAAAAAAAAATACCCTTCGAAGGCAAACTAATGAGGAGACTTCCATAAAAGTTAGAAGGTAGCAGGTCAGAGTTTGACATGTTAAGCATCTAGTCTCTACTTGGGAATAACAAAACCCTGTAATAAAAATAACTTCTACATTTCTCAACAAAGCTTTTCTTGGCAAATAGATGATAAAAAAAATTATAGAATTGCTGTACCAACAGAAACGCAAGAGAGCAAAGAGACAACAGGAGGCAATTTCAATAGAGCTAAACAGCTTGGGGCACTACTCAACAATCTCAGAGATGTTCACTTTTAAAAGTCCATACCAATCCAGGAAATATATTAATCCCTTTCCCATATTTCAAATAGAAAATGATGGCAGTTGTGAAGACTTATAATACACTAATATGAGGATAAACATATTTAGGATAGAGGGAAATGTAGGTAAAATAAAATGAAGCTATTGGATACAATATCTTCAAAACATGATAAACAAATTCAGAACTTGAAATTAACATTGATGTATGAAGCAAAAAAAATCTTAACCACTCACCAATTTTAACCTCTGTAAAGGTATTCTGCCTACATCTATTTGTGTCCTTTCTGGGACATTAGTGAATCGAACTTCTGGGACTGCAACAGCACATATGACATGGGCCCACCTACAGGAAAGGAGACATTAAATATGAACAAGTTCCCTAAACTTACAGACTTCAATCAGGTGGTGACAATCCAGCACACAGAAGAAATGAAGCCAAAAACTCAGCCTCACTGCAAGTAAGTTGTGGATTTTAAACCTCTTCAATGACAACTAGATATATTTAGCACACCTACCTAACACTTTGACATCAATAACTAGTAAAGGGGGCTGGAGAGATGGCTCAACAGGTTTTGCAACGAACCTTAGCACATCCCAGCACGTCCATGGCAGCTGACAACTGCCTGAAACTCCTGTACCAGAGGATCTGATGCTTTCTTCTGCCTTTCATGAGCTGAATTCACACTAAGTAACAGACACATGCACAAAATGAACTACGTAAAGGCAAATTCCTATAACATGGTTATATACATTCAAAAATGTAGGTTTTCTTTATCATTCGATACTACATGTGTAATATATTTAGACTAATATGTGACAAAAGCATAGTTCAGTTAACTATAAATTATGTTTTCATATAGTAAATGATATATACCATATGTTCTAAGGGGAAATTAGTTCAAGTATTTCCTATTAAAACTAATTAAGCCTGTATATATTCTTCCCCAGTGAAGTATTACTGTAACCAAAGGAATCTATAGTTGGAGAGAAAAGAAATGTAGCTCGTTTCCTTATCTCCTACTTAAAACATTAGAGCATCCTTACACATTCTAAATTTGCATAAATTTATTATTCATATTATTCGGTATTTCTTAAGAGTTATAACTCCAAGTAAATATAAGGACTTAAAAGGTTCAGGGATGCCGGGCGGTGGTGGCGGATGCCTTTAATCCCAGCACTCGGGAGACAGAGGCAGGCGGATCTCTGTGAGTTCGAGGCTGGGCTGGACTGACAGCCTCGAAAACAATACAGAGAAACCCTGTCTCGTAAAAACAAAAAACAAAAAAAAAAATGTTCATGGATCATGAGGATTTGTACTACCAAATATATCAATCTATGTTCAAGCCAAAGCTTCTTCATTGTTTTGTTTTGTTTTCCAGACAAGTCCTAGCTGTCCTGAAGCTCACTGTGTAGATCAGACTAGCCTCTAACTCACAAAGAGATACGCCTGCCTCTGACTACCAAGTACATGGATTAAAGAACTACACCATTAGGCCTGGCTTAGCCAAAGCTTATTTAATTCACTTAAACAATACTGTCAAACTTCATCCTAAGATGATAGGAAGAAAGGACAACCACTGACCCCACCAGAGCATTCTAATACACTTAAATGAGGATTCTAGAATACATACTATAAAGAAGATAATTTCTCATGATACATGTTTTCACGGGAAGCACCTAAGCTATCTCACAGACCCTACAGCCTGTCTATAACATCTAAAATCTAGTGACAACTCTGTAGAATGACACCAATTTTATTAGATGAGGTTATGAAAGATGATCCAAAATCAAGCAAAATAGTGACTCTTAGACAACATATTATCAATGTAAAGAATGGTAAGTGCTTTTATTCTTCATTCCAAGCAACCAGACTCATGTGCATGCATACAAAATTACATTGATGTCATCAAAACATTATGCATCAGGAATTCCAATTCCGGGACTGCAGGATAAGCAGGACCACCTGCCCTACTGAATTTAAGTTCTCCTACCAACTTAATATAAAAGAAAGAAGTGAAAGCAAAAGAATAGTTCAGTTAACTATGAATGGATTATAGCTGACATAGAGGATGAGGGGAGGAGAGGAGAAAAAGGAAAGAGATGAGAGGGAAGATAACAAAGGAGAAACCTGCTCAAAATATAAGTTCTGTCATTACATAAAAAGCACAGAATATAAGCAAGCCCTAGTCTACATCTAGTCAGCTTTAGTCTCTGAGGAAGAATTTTAGCCCTAGGTCCAGCAAGCATTATCTATGAAACAGTATCAGCGGGAAGAGGTGTAAAGCAAACTATCACATAGAACTTCAAAAGAAGAAAAAGAAATGATGAAACTCAACACAATCGATGTATTACTTACTTATTGTTTTTAGTCTGCTTAAGAGCACCTCCTCTCAAATTGCAGAGACAGCATTCCTAAAGGGGGAAATTAACACAGTTATGAGACCCATATAACAAATGCCACAGACATTCATCTAAACATCTAAATGCCTTTTTCCATTTATCTTGAAACTGAAAGTTTTAAGGTAAAACAATGGTACTTCAAGTTCCAGAAGGGAAAGAGAAAACCTGAAAATGCTTGGGACATTGGTCCCTTTGGTGGAACTACCATTTTACTCTCAATTGTAATACAGGGAAGTTGTGAAAAGAACTTTGGAGATGTCACCTTGATTTCAATTGTCTGACTGACTTGATAAAGAAACCAATGGGATATTACGGAATGCAGTGCTTTGCTGTATCTACGGAGGTACAATTTGGTGGCACTATCACATAGGTAGAGAGGGGAAAAAAGATAAAAAGCTCAGTTCAAAAATATTCCTTTTTGTGGTTTGTGGTCTCCGAGACTTAACTTTCTGACATGATGGACTCTATTATTCTGTGAGCCAAAATAAACCCTTCCTCCAATATGTTACTTCTTGTCAGATATTTTGTAACACCAATGAGAGAAAAAAAATCAATATAGAAAACTGGCACTCAGAAGAGGGACTAGTTGTGGTAAACTAAACTATGTGGTCTCTATACTTTCGGGAATAATGTTCAGAAAAATGTGAAGGAGCTTGATCTATGAGCTAAAGAAGCCTTCTTAGAATGTTACATTTTACTACAGAAATACTTGCTCATCCACATTCATTGCTGGGACTGTAGACCATGTTCATTGCTGGTCTATTTGTAATTGTTACAAACTGGAAATAATCTAAATTTTCATCAAGATAAGAATGAAATATTATTCAACTCAATGAAATTTATGGGTAAATGGAACTAGAAAAGTCATCCTGAGTGAAGTAACAAACACTGTGTTTTCTCATATGTAGAAGTCAGTTGTTAAGCTTTATATATGTATACCACAATCCAAAAAATAACCAGAGGTTAGGTACTATAAGAGACCAAAGAATCTCCGAAGGCAGGGGAAATAGAAAATAGTGTTATAGACATACTCATAAGAAACTGGAATAGGAGGAGTGGGAGGGCAGGAAAAAGGATAGAGACTGAGGGAAAGAGTTGATTAAACACACCGTGTGCATATATGTTAGCTAATTTTATGTGAACTCGACACAAGCAAGTGTCATTTGGGAATAGGGAACCTCAAATAAGAACATCCTCCCCACAAGACCAAATTGGCCTGTGGTCCATCTTCTTGATTGATGACTGATATGGCAGGGCCAACACACTGTGTGGTGCCACTCTTGGGCTAGTAGTCCTCATTGATATTGGAAATCAGGCTGAGCAAACCATGAGGAATAAGTCAACACAGTGAAGAACTGATACCTGGAAGTATAAAATTTCCTCTCCAAATTACTTTAGGTGATAGTGTTTAAGCACAGCAATAGAAACCTTAACAAGATAGCAAGTATGAATATTAAATCAAGTATTTTTAAAAAGAAGATAGGTTGAAAACAAAACTTATCTAATCCCGTGAGATACAATGAAAGACCTATCTATCTATGTGCCTACCTTAATTGCTGAACACTTAGAGACAGAGCAGGCCATATTAAGGAATATGTATACAGAAATGTTTGTATATGCATATAAAACAATAAATGAAAAGAGGCCATGAATTCGAAGACACATGGATATGTTAGGAAGGAGAAAATGGTGGCTCACAAACATTTATAATGAGATCTGGTTCCCTCTTCTGTCCTGTAGGCAGACATACAGACAGCAAACTGTATACATAATAAATGAATCTTAAAAAAAAAAAGATATCAAAGTGAAAGTAATTTGGAAACTTCTACTCTACTAGCTTTTTTTTTTTTTTTAATAGTGCCAGAAAGTGCTGTGCAGACCACTGGAAGAGAAACGCCATCACCTGATTTATTCAACATTGAAGCTGAATCCTACAGTACTGAGTTATCAGACAAGATGTGCCCCTTGGTGCAATAATGGAGTGACTACTGGGTAACTGCTTGTTTTCTGATTGGATTTGAGGCCTCTTCCACCAGAAGGAATTTATGTCTGGTACTGTAAACCTGATCAAATGGTAATCAAATCTACTACTTAATGGACACATTGTCAAACTGCTTCCTAAATATTATGGTTATATCCTTTGATTGATGCTGCTCTAAACTGTGGTCAGAGCAGCTTCCTTTGGCAGTGCATAATGGTCAATGCAAGAGTCATCAAAGCTGTCAAAGTTCAGAGAATGGGCGATGTTGAGTGCTCAGCCCTAAAAAAGATATCGATATCAACTCTCACACAGCTCAGCAAACATTGGAAAGGAGGATGTCAAAAGAATGCATGCTTAGGATAATGGAGACGGGGCTATGAAGTGCTGCCTTCTGAGCATTTCATGGTAAAAGTAAAAAGAGGACTACTACAGAAAATTGTTGCCTACTTTACAATTATGAACACAAGATTTTCAAAACTTTATTTACCATAAAAGAAAATTAGAAAAATATACTTGCTATATGATTATATAAGTTACACTAAATATGCTATAGGAATATTCTGTATTCCTAATAAATAATAATAAATAAATAAGTCTTCTTTTCATAAGGGATATTAAAATAATTAAGAAATAATTAAGAGCGAGAAAACTTTGTGACACATAGGCTAGGACTAAAATATTTTCTGCCCTCAGCTGAACTATCCCCAAGAACTCCTTCACAGACTCTTTGTCAGAAGAACTGCACAGCTCCTTTTGAATGTAAAGGTGACTACAGGAGAATGATTCCTCAAGAAGTCAACATAAAGGATTTTTTTTGATAAAACAAACATTTGAGGCATAACATCAAAAGAAATCATAATTATTTACTAAAGTTAATATTGGAAAATCCAGGTCTGTATGAACTCCGACTATCAATTTTGTTAGTATTTTTACATAATATTGGAAAGTGATTCAATTATTTCTCAGGAGAAATGAGAATGAACCTTTTTAGTGAAAGATCATTCAAAATAAATAAACATGAATTCAGATTTCAATGAAATAATGGGAAATTATCTGAGTTTGAAAATCATTGGAAAGTGGTATGTTACCCTATGCTTTACAGCCCCAAAACAGTTAACATGACTTCAACTACAGTGTACAGATTAATAGAAAGGAGTCTGAAATCAATTTTGAAGAGTGATTAATCTGAGTTATTTTTAAAATATTCCGCATCAAATCAGCATACTAGATGAGAACTAGCATGCGTGCGCCTTTGCCTGATCCTGGCTCTGCTATGCAGAGACCAATAGTGCCTGAAACTGACAAGCCTGGTCAGAGACAACTGTCAATGAACAAAGAGCTCTCAATAGTTTGGTGAAAAGGATTCATAAGTTCATTCTTCAGGGTAAGTAAACGGAAATCAGCTATCAAACTGACTTAAAAAGCTTTCACATTGGGTCATAAAACAGAAGACAGACAAGATGGCAATTCCCAGGTATGCCAATAGGAATCGAGTGTATTTTATTCCAGTACTGTCTAAAAGCAGAGATTTCTGATTATCTTAGATGTTGTGCATTTACTTAGATTTTATTTACCTAACTGATTGGAAACTACTACATTGAATATCAAATAGGCCATAATATTTGAACTGTTGCCCCTTCTTTCCCTCACTGGCCAAAGAATTCTTTGAGCTTCCTTCAGTTTAGCCATCACGTCTTCTTCCACAGCTCGGGAGCCTAATTTCACAATTGTGATATAAGCTCTGATTACTCACAGTCTTCACAGTGGCCGTTGGGACTTTAACTCTGATTATGGTAAGTTTATCATTAGCAATGCTAAAGAAAAGAGCAACAACTGCTAATCCTAACAACTCATCATTGTCTGCTGTGAGATCATCACATTGCCATCTAACAGGACATATTTAAATGGACAATCAATATAGCATGATAGGTAAGGGAAGGAAATAAAAGACAAGTGAAAATAAACTTCTCAGGACAGTTTTAGGAAACAATAACTTAGACCCTGAAGAATTTGTAGGCTTTAATGGAAATTCAATACCTCTTATCATTCTGTCAAAAGTTCACAGTACTGTTAAGGTATTAAGGAATAAAGGGAAAGACTCTTGTTGGTTGGAAAATTGCAGACATTGGGGTTTCTTCAAGAATCCATAAAGATACCTCCCATGAGTATTTATTAGAATGATTTGTAAGGATTCCAAACTGTGTAAGAAAATTAAATAACAACAATCTAGTCTTGAAAATAGAAACGTGAATTTGATGAGGTAGGGTGCCCATAGGATCTGAAGTAGAATGCCCATAGAAATTCACCTAAACATTCTACAGTGGTTACAAAGCCAATATGTAGGATTACTTGGAGAGAGGCGGGCTAGAAGTAGCCATGACCACAGTGGGTACAAAGAGATGAAGAAGAGCACAAAATTAAAATGTACTTACTGCAGTCCATGCATTTCTTTTGCACCGGGCACAGAGCCATCCATCACAGACATCACGAGAGGGGATGCCATAACAACCTACAATATAATAGCACAGATGTATACATTAAGTCTCTTGCATCTTTAAAATATTAGTCACCATGGTAGAACAAACCTATGTTCCTACCTACTAAGAAACTGGGGCATAGTGATCACATATTCAAGTCCCATATGATCTATATAGTGAGTTCAAAGCTAGTCTACGTAACTAAGTGAGATTGTTCCAAAATGAGAAGTACAAAGAGGGACTGGGTTACAGATCAGAGGTAGACTTCCTAGCATACAAAAAGAATTAGGTAAAATATCCAGAATGGAAAGAATGCATATTGTAATAAAAAATAAAGCCATTCAATTCCTAGCATATCAAAAATGTAAGTAAGACTCTGCCAAAGTTACTTTTGATTCATATTTCTTATTATTCTATCAGTTCCAAAAACATGACAATGCCTTTTTTGCCTAGTTGGAATTGTGTCTTAGGGTGTGCATGTTATGAATAACAATGTGAACTCATGAGTACCATAGCAGGTGTTTGGAGCTCAGAGAACAAGGTTCTAGGGTCAGTACCTAGGTTGTGGCAATGAAACACAGAAGTTAGGCTTAAAAAGTAACTTTATCCACTGAGTCATCTAGAAAGCCTATTTATTTGGAATCTTCGATATGAGTTTTTGCTACACAGCCCAGGTTGAATGAAGCCTGATTCTCTTGCCATAACTTCCTGCGAACTCTCAACGCAAAGCTTGAGAGTGTACATATTAATAGTGCCATAGAAATAACTCCTGCATGACTAAAAATAAAATTTCTAAACTGCCATGCTAATATTGTCAGTCAAGCATAATTTTTGAAAATAAACTACAATTCATGAAGCCACTAGGGCAATGTTAGTAAAGTTTGACATAAATTTCTTTAATTGGGGCAAAAACTGCACAGTCCATAACTAGCAATGAAAGTGTGCTCTCAATTTAGTGTTTGTTGGATCAATGCCTAGACCATGTATGAAGATATCAGGTGATGCAAGTATTTGTAGTAACTGCATGATACCAAGAAGTATGTATTACTGTAGTAGAATCTCAGCACCAAGTAAACAAATAAGCAAAAAAAATAAACAAACTAACATGTATAATACCAGTATTTGAGATGCCAAAACAGAAGAAAATAGTATGTACAAAGTCTGCCTGGTCTACTGAAAAAATCCTTTAACAAAATGGGAAACAAGGATGGGAAAGGAAAGAGGAAGGCAAATAAAAGGGAAAGCAAATAGGGAGTTGGGGAAGAGTAATTTTAACACCAAAGTGTGATTAATAGAGTCAGAAACAGAAAATCTTAGAAATGCAGTTAATCGAAGAAAATCATACCATAGGTAACCAAGTCAAACATAATGCTACATTCAATCATGTTCATGGGATTAGTATAGTGAGATTATATACCTGGTGATTTCAGAACACAATATTTAATACATATTATATTGCTATATATAAAAATGCAAGGTAAAATCATATATATATATATATATATATATATATATATATATATATATGCTATGTCTTCCAAACTTCTATCAGCATAAAAAGATTGCTAATACTGTATTTCAGAAAACTTGTTGCTCTGGCAGAAGATCAGATTTGATTCCCAACACCCATATTATAGTTCACAATCAGCTGTAACTACATTTCCAGAGGACTGAAAGCCCTCTTCTGACTTCCCCAGGCACCGACCCTTCATGCGGAGCACATATATACATATAGCCAAATATTCATATACATATATAATTATAAAAAATAAAATGTGAAAAAAATGAGTGATTAAGAGTTGGGACTGAGGTCCAGTGGCACAACACACATTTAGTATGCATGAGGCTCCTGTTTGGCCCCTACCAATAACAAGTAAAAGGAACAACCAACAATGCCCCCAACACAGATAATGTAATTGAGAAAAATCAAGAATGCTGAAATACTTTAATTTAGAATTAGAGTTGTAATATAAAACAGATTTCCCTATATATTCTAGGGTTATATGGCAAGTCAATGTTTATAAATATTCTTAGTATTTATCTGCCTGTATACAAATAACAAATTGGGAAATATATAGAACCTAACTACTATAATTAGTATGGATTTCCCTATCTTTATATGAAGAAAAATATCTAATCCAATCAACTAAGTCTTGGAGTATACAAAAATAGTCTTCAATCAGCACTAAGGATTTAAATTAAATCTTCCCAATCTACTATCATTAAAATGCAAAATTCAAATAAGTAAGGAGTCCCATTTTGTTATATCATCTGGACTCCTGACAAGAAAATACCCATGTCGTCTCTTCAATGAGGCTTCATAAAACTGAAGAGAAGAGGATGAATAACTATTCATAGTCTAAAAGGAAGCCATTAAGAATATCAACAATAAGATTAGAAATGTAGCTCTACTAGCCGCCTCTGATCCTACTATGTACAAAGCCTTCGGCTCAATCTCAGTATCACATAAATCCAGGCATGGCAGCACCCATCTGCAACCCCAGTACTTCAGAAGGAAGCACAAAGACTTGCTTGGCTGAGTGGCTTATGAGGCAACTTCCTGAGTAGTTTGGCACAAATAAGAATGTCAAGAGGTAACTTGACAGGTTACAATAAGGTAATCTATAGGGGCTAAGTAAAACACTGAAATTCCGGGGACAGTAAAATCATAGATTTATTTACTTGCATGAACCTGTACGAAGCACTTGGCACAGGAAATCAGAAGACTTGTTCCATCCTCTTCAAGGAAGGCATTTGGGGGGGAATATTCTACATTTTCTTCACTATAAATAAAACACATCTCTGGAATAATGGGTTTAGTTTTTCTTCCAGATTTAACCACTTCATTTACTGCTGTCTCCCAACTAGAATCATTTTCTTCTTTGCTGCTCTCAGGCTGAAAAAGGTAACATATCCATATGAGTAAAAGACAGGAAAGCACTCAACTTTTATTCATTAATCCATTCATACCAGTTCTAGCTACTAAATTACAACTTCTTGTTCTATTCTTTAATTCAATTGCTAGCATTTTTCCAATGCTCCTATACAGACCACCCTTTTTATACCAATCAGTAATAAATGTCTGTGGGTTCAAACAAGATTGTTAGGAGCTCTTCAAATTGGGGTGTTCCAAAATACCTCAGGAATGCACAGCTATGTTTGCTTCTCAATGATCCACTTGTATGTTTTTATACTTCAAACAATACAGGTTTTCTATGGGCAGCACATTTGTCTCCCACAAAAGCTTGAAATACAGGAGACAGACTAGCATATGTGGTCAGATAAGAATGATGTTCAAATGTGACTGGCATCTTTCAACAAAATAGTGGGAAATTACAGCTAGTTAAGATCTTATAATAAGGAATATTTTTATTACTGGAAAATATACAGGCAGAAAGAATGCTTAAATAAGAATCACTAAAAATAAATAATAAAGAAGGTAAAACGTAAAGTAAATATACTAATTACAAACCTGAAAATGTAGAATTTCATCCACTACTCTCTTGCTCGGAAATATCAAAATTAAACCATTATATGACAGTAATAGTCATAGATAGTGGATTTACTAATATATTGTACCTTAAAGTAAACAAGGCAATTAACTTATGCAGCAGTCAAGATCTGTTTCATGCCTGAGCTGAGATGCTTTCAGGAATGACATGAACAAAATAATGATGGGAACACCAAGCACAGTTACCTTGCATGTTTTACAAGGAAAAATGAAAAAGACAAAATGAGGAGTGGACACTGATATCTACTTTCAATTTTAAAAAGATACTAACTATATAACTATAGAAAAGGTTTTAAGGTTTTAAGTTAGGAATTTGATGCCTTTTAATAAAAGAATTGGGTTTAGAATTGAAGATTTTTAAATAAGCAAACACTAAAAAACAAGCAAAAAAGCACCCCACCAAAAGCCCCAAAGGAAGAAGGTGGTGGTTGGACACACTGATACCCATACTGCAAGTTACCTTGTAATAGGGCATGAGCAGAGTACAGATTGCACAGTGTGGTTCCATTTTTGCCACAGCTGCATTATACTCTTGTTCAGCCATAAAGTTAGGAGACTTTGTCTGCCAAAGGTGGATGAGAGGCTTTGCCCAAGACTCGGTTTCTTCTACTTCTTCATCAGTGGGTAGACTCTCAGGTGACTCTTAGGAGAGAGAAGAGGAAAACAAAATGAGCAGAAATGCAGAAAAAAGATATCAGCCTGGTAACAGACCTTGAGTATTCCTGAGTGTTTGAGACATCAATGCCAGATACTAAGGCACCTTGGAAAAGTAGATCAGATCACCTCATGGGAAAACAAAACAATTTTTCTTGTCAGCTACTTCCTTTCTGCTGGAAAAAAAAAATTAAACCAATTCCTCCTTAAACTTCATCTTTTCAGCTATCATTGAAAAACTACCCATTCAGTTAACATGTTTAAGTATGTGGGAGCTAGTGACGTTCTTATTAATACTTTCATTTTCTTTAGTTAACATAGTACACATTTCAGTAGAAGCTTATCAGCTGAATATAATTAAATTGATTTTTTGATTTAAGATCCATGGTATTTACAGACCAGCCATAATCTATAAATAAAGAAGCTGTCATGGAAAACAAGGTTGATGAGGGATAAAAATTGAAATATAGAAGAGGCAAGCTGCAGAAAGACTAGAAGCTAATCCCCATTAGGACTACATATGTACATAAATAAAAAACCAGATCATGTGTGAGAAATTCCCTGTGATATCCAATAGCAAGCAAAAGGCCTTTGTAAATAACCTCTGAAGAAAGATTCGTGATGCTGAAGGCCTGTAGCTTTTGAGACTTGTCTTCTTTAGGTTATCTAGCTAATGAGTTAATGCCTACTTTCTAGAACATCTTTAATAACGTGACTATTTCCAACATCATTCTTTCGTTTCCTGTTTGATTTATGTGTTTGCTTGTTATTTTTTTGGGGGGGGTATGGTTTCTCTGTGTAACTTTGGAGCCAGTCCTGGAAATTCTTCTGCATACCAGGTTGGCCTTGAACTCAGAGATCCATCTGCCTCTGGCTCCCAAGCGCTGGGATTAAAGCTGTGCGCACCAGCTGCCACCACGCAGCTTCATTTTTCTAAAGACACGACAACATGTAGTTATACTCTGACCTCTGACCAACTGCTGCAACAGCTGCTAAAGCACTCAGAAGGTAAAGCTATGCTATTTATTGTTGGAACACTTTGAGATGGTGTCAAAACTCCCAAGAAAGGCCTGATGGCAGCCTAGGGGAGCATGAATCATGGGAGAATTACTTTCAGTATTTCCTTTGACTTTCTTTCACAGCTGCTAAAGCACTCAGAAGGTAAAGCTATGCTATTTATTGTTGGAACACTTTGAGATGGTGTCAAAACTCCCAAGAAAGGCCTGATGACAGCCTATGGGAGCATGAATCATGGGAGAATTACTTTCAGTATTTCCTTTAACTTTCTTTCACAGCTTATGGCTTCCTGTGACAGAGGCTGAACCCGCTTACTTCAGCCTCTCTACTGGGACTTGGGGGCAAAGAAGTAGGAATTGGCTAGTGGCAGCCCTGGAGAAACCATACTTTAGTTGGAAGGCAATATCCAGGAGGGCCTATCTTTAAACTGGAAGGCTGGCAAAGAGCCACCAAGATCCAAGTCAAACCTGGGAATACACGGAGACCTAGTCTCCATTGCAGAATCAGGTACATAATTACAACACTGATGCTGCATGCCCAACATGTAGGCAACAAAAGACGTTTATGGTTACCACCAAGATGGTGACGTTTATATGAGAAAGGACATTATGGTACGAATACGGTAATTATTTTATTTTTGGAATGCCTAAATAAAAGGAGAGGGGGGAGGCAAGGACCGGTAAATATATACAACCATATAAAATTAGGTACTCTTACCTTCTTACAACCTATTAAAATCATAAAATTTTTATAAAACATTAAAATAACACTTGTTTATATACAGCAATACTCACTGGAGTCATAAAAATGTCTCTAAACCATGAAATGTTATATTGAATATATAGAACTTAATAAACATTTCCTTCTACAACAGGCTTTGAAAAAATTTACATTTTTAACTCTTTTTCTTTCTCTTTCTTTCCTTCCTTCCTTTTTTCTTTTTGGTCAAAGGAAAATAAAAATAATAAGACACATCATTTATCTTAATCAAAATAAATCTAATGGGGATGACTCGAAGCTGGCAGTATCTTCCAAACACAAAAGAACTAACACACATATGAATTCACAGACTGTGGCAATATGCATAGAACCTGCACAGATTCAAACTAGTTGTGAGGGATAAATAGACACTGGGTGATTTATGCTACTTTTGTTTTACTCTGTCAAACTGTGATTCTTTGACTTTCTAAAATATCTGAAGGTCTGATAAAGAACTGAGCAGCCAAAAGCGAGACAGGAGCAAGGACAGGCAGGGTTGGCAGGCAGAGAGATTTCTACTGTACTAAAGAGAGATTTCTACTGTACTAAAGAGAGATTTCTACTGTACTAAGGAGAAGGAGAAAGGACGAAGTGGAGCAGGAGAACAAGGAGAAGAGGGCTTCAGGGCCAGCCACCCAGTCACCCAGACAGACAGGAGTAAACAGCAATGTACGGTATACAGAAGTCAGAAAGATAGGGGCCCAGAGGAAGAATGTAGATGGCTTCATTGAAGAAAAGCTTGCTAGCACCAAGCCAAGCTAAGGCCACGCATCCATAACTATGAATAAGGCTCTGTGTGTGCTTTACTTGCAGACTGGGCAGTGGGCCTCTCAAAAAAGAGAAAAAAAGCCAAAGAGTAAAATGCAAATTGCACAATAGGGCCCCACCCCATTTGATACTCGCTGACGATGGGAAAAATCACTTTTCTCCAGTGGAGTGTCATTGGGTATAATCAATCACACATTAGAGCAATCACCACGGCCAGGAAAAGTTGCCTATTACAAAATAAACTGTATCTCTATGTACATGCTTATGCGCATTCATACTTTTGGTTTTATTTTGACATTTTTATGTTTTCTTGTTTGTTCTGATTTCCATTCTTGAGGGTTTTGTTTTTGTTTTGTTTTTCCTTGATAGAAAAATATATAACAAGAAATTGTGTTCTACCAGTAATAATGATATTCTAAAAAGAAAGCTGTGCCCCTGTGTCCCTTTGTTTAGTATTAGACTATTGAAACAACGGATAACACCACATTGGACTCCTTGGAATCTCATGCCCAGGGAAGGAAAACTGCTGTAAGTCAGAAGGGACATTTGTCTTTTCAAAGAAATTTCTCAGAGTTCTGATAACATGCCAGATGACCTAATAAGAGAGATCTGGTTCAAGACAATTGATGGTGTAAAGGACCTTGACCAGCACTGCTTAACTATATATAGCTCTTGCCTGGGAAGTTTGAACTGGAAGATGGACTTGATTTGGTTTCTCTCACCAATATGACTACAACGAATAAGTTCCTCCTTTCTGTTTCTCATCATTACACCTTTCTTTAATTGGCTTAAAGAGGACAGGTGTCTCACACTAACTTGCTATGGCTGCTAAGGCCTAACCCATATAAGAAGGAGAGCTATAGTCAGTGGTTTAATGTGACTCTTACCAATACTCAAACTTGTAGAGAGGGCTACCTGAACACCTGAGTAAACACAGTATTTAGATAGCTATCTGTATTTTTTTCTGTATTAGTTACTTGAGAATTTTAAGAAAGTATAGTTGAAGAGATATGAATAGAAACCAGTTCAAGGACAACTGGGTGGTAGGAAATTAACCTTTAACTCTTAACACATGCTACTGTAGCCAGTGTGGGAGAGATAAAGATATCTGAAGAATCATTTATGGCTGGGCGGTGGTGGCGCACACCTTTAATCCCAGCACTGGGGGGAGGGGGGGCAGAGGCAGGCAGATCTCTGTGAGTTTGAGGCCGGGCTGGACCAATAGCCTCCAAAACAATACAGAGAAACCCTGTCTCGTAAAAAAAACCAAAAACCAAAAACCAAAAAAAAAAAAAAAAAAAGAAAAGAAAAGAAAAGAAAAAGAAAAAATCATTTATGTCCCTCACTTTCCCATCAGATTACTGGAGAAAAAAAAAATGACCTCCAAGAGGTAGAACTTTTCCAGCAATCTCTCTCTGGTAGAAGAGAAAGCATAAAGACCAGAGGGAAGATTTTATTTCAAAAGAGATTTACAATCATTAGGAGAGACAATGATGATGGAATGGGCCACACTTTGATGATGACTACACACACACACACACACACACACACACTCTCTCTGGCCCTCTACTTAAGCCTTAACTTCACATCAAAACTATGAAGATGGATGTGGCAGATGGTTACTCACTCACATTTCCCAATGTAGCTACAATGAATAAATTTCCTTTTCTTTCTTTTTGCTATCGATTTGGCTCTGAAAGATAGGTGACCAAATCTGGCTTGTAGAACTAATCAACACAGAATATAAGGAAATTTCCAACAAAAAAAAATGTATTCTGAAATATATCTTTTAAGACTTCCAACTATACTTTATACAATCTAGTCGTGAAACAATTTTCTTTGTCAAAGACACAACTCCTGATTTGGTGAAAGTCAAGGTCCCAAAAAGACTAGGGTATTTCCACAGCCTGCATATGGGGAAGAAACACTGTGGATCTCACTGTTGCCATCACCTATGGGCATTTGAAATGTTCAAATCTGCTGAAAGGACCACAGGTTAAGAACCAAGGTTGGCCTTTCATGACCAAGTAACAAATTTTATACAAGAAGAACATAGTAGGACTTGCCTAAATTATAAACTAACAATAAAACTTAAAAAAAAAAAAGAGAAGACCAGAGTCTACTGACAGCAAAAGACTCCTCTGCTAGGAGTTAAAAAGAAATTTCCACTGCTTCTGCCAGATGCATTACAGGCTTTAGTATTAGTAGGCACAAACAGGCAGAGTGAACATCCTTTCTAAATCTGCTCTTTGGAGTAAGAAGTAAAATCTGACCACACTAAAGGCTAAGCATTTACTGGCTGAATTCTTCTATTCTACAACCATTCCTCACTCAAGTCTAAGCAAGCTCTCCTGGCGTCTTCTTGAGCCTGGCCATGGTAGTTTTGGTTTTGCTTCTCTTTTCCCCATATACATTCTTAGTAAAGGGAAGGCTGCAACATGTCTTATGAATCCAACCATCGTTTCCAATCTAGTCCCAAAAAATTCCCAAAACAGTCAGAGCAAGAATTCTCGCGTACCCAGGTAGATGGGAATTCTCTTTTGACTCTCTTCTGCCTTGCTCTAGATTTTAGAACACCCAGCTATCATTATCTTCTCACTTCTTACTATCATCGTCACAGCAGAAACTAGAGACACTAAGGTTCACACAAGTTCAGAGACATTTAGACTTTAACTTTATTAACTCAGCCAGGCAGTGGTGGTGCGTGCCTTTAATCCCAGCACTCAGAAGGCAGAGGCAGGCGATCTCTGTGAGTTCGAGACCAGCCTGGTCTACAAGAGTTAGTTCCAGGACAGCTTCAAAAGCCAGAGAAGGTCTGCCTCGAAACCCCTCCTCTCAAAAAAAAAAAAAAAAGCTTTATTAACTCTATGTGACAGATGCTACTATAATCCCAAGTTTGGAAACATAGGCTCCAAAGCAAGGAAGCCCCAGGCCACTCAGCGCATCTCACCTGTCTGTCCCACCCGAACAGAAGATCCATTAATTAAGGGCTAACTCTGGTGCTTTTTGCTTCTAGTTTTCTGCAGAAGGATCACACTCCAGACTCAATAAAGTAATGATCATTTGTCCACAAAGGAAAATAAACTGATATTTAAAGAGGCAATTTCTCACAAATTCTAATATTGGTATATTCCAATAAGAATCCCGTCAAAGGAGCTGGTAGGGCACAAATCCCTAAAACCAGCTGGACTGGAAACTGTGTTCCAAATGAGTATTAAATCTGCTTGTTCACTTCATTTAGACAATAATAATGTTCCTTCGCTTCCAATAATACAAACCTCTAGATTCAAAGATAGGAGTATGAGTGATGATATAAGTAATTTATTTGAGGTTATAGACTGCTTTTCATTGTCATTTTAGATTTTTTAAAATCTTCAGCCACCAGGAACCACAGTTTTAAAATTCAATTCTCATAATATGGTGTAAGTCCTTAATATATGCAACTGCTGCAAAACTATAATTACCAATGTTTCAGAAAAATGCTTAACTACCTAAACATTTGAAACAACATTGTTGACTGAATTCACTTATATATTTTTGCAAACTTTACACAACAAAATCAATTTGCCCCAAGGTTTACTGGACAGATTTTCAATGTGACATAAAAATAAGCTTCCAGGAGGAAAAGCACATGAGAGAAAAAGCTTTCCTTAGAAATCTGTCTACCACATGGGGGCCTGCCCCAAATGATGTGACAGATTTTGAAGATCCCCCATGGAAGGTCTCACCCTCCCAGGGGAACAGAAGGGGGATGGGATGGGGGGCTGGCGGGGGGCATGGGAGGGTGGGAGGGAGAGGGAAATGGAATTGATATGTAAAATAAGATCGCCTCTAATTTAAATAAAAGAAAAATATGAAAAAAAATCTGCCTACATTCTTTCCTACAGAGAAGGCACACCAACAGCAAGCTGTTAAGGAAAATAATCAAAATTTCTAAGTATTATGTTATATATTAGTTATTTTTGTCTGCTGGTTATAATAACTTTAATAGACAACAGTTTGTGCTACATGAACTAAAATGGAAAAAAGAATGAACTGATGTAGTATAGATGCTACCTATAATCCTAGCAACTGGAAAGCTAAAGCAGGAGGATCACCTCAGGACTGTCTAGATTGCAAAGCTGTAACTTGTCTCAAACAAAAAATTGGAACTGAACATGATAATATACAGAAATAACAGCTAGTATGTATCTTTATTTCAGTTATCCAACTAGAATGCTACTGTGTTCTTGAAGGCACTACCACCATGATCTCTACATGAATACACATCATAAAAGAAACAGAAAAATGATGCTGATTCTTCTAGTGAGGGTTATTTAAACTAAACAAAACCCCCATAATGTTGTTCCCTTGAGTACATGCTCAAAGACAGGGGACTTTAGATGATATTCATCAGAAAAGGAGACTATCTCAAAGGACTTGTAAAACAAACAAACAAAAAGAACCCATTTGAATTGATCAGTTACAAATGTAAGAATACTTAGTACATGTCTTATCCAAATGTCAAATAGACAGAAAGAAAGGGGAACCAAATTTAAAAGAAAAGTAATTGCTACATTGGGATATGTAACTTAAAAAAAAAAAAAGTAGTTTTACATCAAGCTACATCAGAGAGTAATCTACCAAGTAATGACAGGGACCTACCACACACTGCTATGTGTGCTGGATATGTGTTTGTGGCGGGGTGGGAGGGGGGTATTTTTACCCTAGTTATCTATTAGAAATGATCATGAATAATACCATGCACTCACCTTCATCACTCACTACCTGCTGCTTCACAAGAGTCATTGGGGATCTGGCTGGAGGCTTACCAAGTGGATGGCGCCAACTCTTAGTAGTTTTGGGCAGTCCTTCTATTATCTGGTCATAGAGGGCGGCGGGGGGAGAAAGAAAAAGAAAAAGGTAGAAATGTCCATGAATAATGTTTGGTTCCCCCCGACACACACACTGTCTGGTATGTATGCAAGAGTAGGTAGACTTAAGACAGATACACCACTAGCTCACTGCTTTACCACTTCACTAGTTTGGTCGGTCAGTAAACTCTAGTGATCCTGCTGTTCTGCCTCTCAGCACAGTGGTTACAGACTAGTGAAGCCATGCCTAACTTTTCTTCATGCTTGCATAGCAAGCACATTATTTACTGAGCAGTTTCGACTCAATGGTGATTTGTTTCAGACAAAAGAAAGATTATACTTCAAAATGATAACTCTGTTTAGTAATAAATCTTGTTAGTGTTTTAAGAAATGTGGACTTACAGGCTGGGGTACGGCTCAGTGGTAGAACACTTACCTAGCATGCACAAGGCCCTGGGTTTTCATCCACAGTACTACCAGAGAGACAGAGGGAGAGAGGCTGAGGGAGGGGGACACAAGGAGAGAGTGAGAGAGGTAGAGAGGGAAAGAAAGGAGAGGTAAAGGAAAAGGAGTAGCATTTTTTCCAAGAGGTCAAATAATTCTCCTTCAAAAACTACTGTTTCATGGAAAGCTCATCAAAAGTTAGCAAGATTTCAAAGGTCCTTTAAAATTAGCCCAAGTCCACTGTTATACATTCATAAAATGATTAAGAACTGTGAAGTTCTCTCACCTCTAACCTTTCATATATGAATATTTGGCAAGTGATTTTTATCCTTTATCCAGCTTTTATCCTCAAAGAGATGAAAAATGTACCAAATGGAATAAAGAACTTCACTTTCCACTGAGAATGAGCCAGGGGTTCAATAAGAAAATAATATTTTAAAATGAAACATTTCTGCTATTTTGAAGTGACTAAATTGTGAAAGTTACTTTTTAAGCCCCTATGAGACACTTTCCATTTTGACTTTTAATATTTTCATGGTAATATTTATATTTGTGTAGAACACACAATGATTTAGAAAATGATAATCTATTGATCAAATTACTGAATTATATTTTATGTATTTTAAGACTACTAAGAAATAGACTATTTGAAATTACTGTCTTTCCTTAATATGCCTTGAATGAAAAAAGACTCATAGTAGATTTAGTAATTTGGGAACAATCAACATGTTGGTCAGGTCAGGTCAGCTATGATCTCAAATGACAGAGAAGCCCCTCACAGACAACTGAAATCCCTGGTAAGGTTCAGAACACGAGTGCAGCATTAGCTCACCTCACCCATTCCTGACTAAGGACTGTTGATTTTGTAAACATATTTTAACACAAAACGAGAACAATGCAGCCAGCACAGGGAGCTTAACTTTTCTGAGTGGCAAAAGATTTTATGGGAATGAGCATGACCAGAAATACATCTCTAATATTCTCAATAAGAAGAGTCAAAAGAAAACATGAATCATGCAAGTCATGATGCTACAGTGAATACTGTATAAAATCGATTCTATTATAATAGTTACTACTGTAAGGAAGGCAATTTATCTCAGCCTGGATAACAAGGCTAGTGACAGGAATACTATCTATCATAACTGTCTAAATATCAACTGTCTAAATTTCAACACAATGCTTACCAAGTATCAGCATTTGTGGGAAGTAGTTAACTGAGTATAAATGATCTCTCTGTTTACTATTTGCAGCAAAGCCTGTATGAGCTCCATATAAAGACGTTGCTTTCTTAAAGTATAAACTGAAAGAAAATCAGACCTCAATATGTAGCCAAAAGTTTTTTGTATTAATAAATCAAAATGTGAGGCTGAACCCATATAATATTTACCTGACAAAAATCTTATTCCATTGGTGAAATATGACAAACTCATAAATGTAAATACTGTTTACTCCCGCTTTGAAGCAAGATTTCATGGGACAATATACTGTATTCACAAAGCAATATTATCGCCATACAGGCCAACACCCAAAGAGCATAGTAGAAATACATACGGACACATACCTTAGAAAATTTGAGCCCATTTCGCTCTTCACTAAGAGCTTCTGGGATTTCCCCAGGCTCATGGTTACTTCCATGGTCCTCCTCATTATTGCCTTCTTCCTCTGTCAATACCATATTACTTTCTGCCAAGGAGGAAGACATCTTGGGAGATTCAGGCCTTAGATTCTTGAGGAGATGTGACTCCTTGCCTATTACCTGGCCACTTGAAAATGGCATGAAGTCACAGGTCTTCTTGGGCATAGATGGTGAAGTTACAGCATTTGCTAAGCCATCTTCATGCTGTATTTCATCTATTACAGGTGAATTTATACAGCTTTTTCCTGAAGAGCAACCAAAAGACTAACAATTAAATGCTGCATCGCATTACACTAAGTATAGTGATTTAACAATTACCAAGTAATAATTAATTTTACACTTTCTTTTCCTTCCTTTCTTCCCTCATTAATTTTCATGACAGGGTTCCTGGGCCCTGTTAAACCAGGCTGACCTTGCACTTAGAAAACCACCTGCCTCTGCTTCCCAGGTGCAGTGATTAAAACATCATGCCTGGCTGATTTTATATTTTCTAACTGTCCACCTCAACTTCCGTAAACATGAAATTATATTACAGTGTCAATATAATGAGACCTTGGACCTCCTTTCTACTTTCTGTGTATAACTGTTATGCAGGCATGCATGAGTGTTGTGCTGGCAAGTATGTGTGATTAGTAACCATGGAGGCCAGCCAGAATAGAGTATCAGATCATCTGGAATTTGAGTTATAGATGGTTGTGAGGTGCCATGTGGGTACCGGACACCAAGCCCAGGACTTCTGTAAGAACTACAAATACTTTTAAATGCAGAGCTATCTCTCCAGCGCCAAGTTTATACTTTTGAAAAGAAAACAAATCCCAATTAACTAGACAGTCAAACATTAAGTAGGTTCTAATCCACATTATCATCAATATGTCACTCATAACACTTAACAAAGCACAAACACTAAAAATCTACCTAGAAATTTTTTCAATAGATAATGCTAAGAACAGCTAAACCAGAAACAATGGAATTCAGAGAATGTGTATAAATGGAACATATAAAGTCCTAGATAGTCAATAAAGTCTTCACTGCATGATCCTTTACAGTATACTGAAAACATGGAGAAGGCTATTAGACTTAGGCAGATGAGATTCTTCAACTGCCACATAGTTTGGAGAGAATGCTTTGAAATAATATCTCTTGTATGAGGTATTATAAATCATTTCCCAGACACACAAAATTATCATCATTTCTACATATCACATACAAGCTCTAATACTGAAGCCATGTCTTACATTTAAGTATTCTTCTTAGTCTCATAACCTACAGATCAAAATATAAAGAACTAGATAGAACTGATAAAATTAGACACACTTAGTGTAACTATTCCCTGAAGTTATAAACAGACAAATTAAACACAGTGGTAGAATCCATGGTGAAGTCCTATGAGGATTTACTTATGTATACTACAGAATTGTGTTGTTTGCATTAACTGCAATTCCCATTATACATTCTCAACCCTTTACCTCCCCACCCATTCCTTACAACTCTTCAGAAGTTAACATCAAACCATCTGGGCTTTTAAGGTTCTCTCTCTATAGGTCTGTCAATTTAAAACCAGTATATGTAATGGCATTGCTACAATGATACTATACTGAATTATAACTGTCATATAGATCCTCCCTAAAGTATGAACTCACAGGAAAAAGTTTGTGGTTTCAACTGGAGTCACACAGGCTTTTTAAAAGCAAACGTAATGAAGATAAGGAAGTAATTGAGGAATAATTCTTTAATGAAATGATGTAAAGGTTTTTATTTTATTCTAAGTATAATATTAAGAAGATGGGATGAACATAATCTGAACTATTTTTTAAGACTACCATATAGAGATGTGAATATATTGTGTCTCTACTGAAAGCTGATTCATTTAAAATGTCAAAGAGAGGCTGGAATGTCACAGTTCCAGAACTTAATCTTGGCCTACTAAAAAGTCATTCCTGGCTCCCTATATCATATGTCAGACTTCAAACTTCGCTCCAGAATAAACAATAAGCAATCTTCTTCCTTCTGATGTGAGAACTGTACTTCTGTATTCACAGAGATTCAACAGAAGGGGGCGGGAGGTACTTTCTGTAAGGATAAAAGTGATGTGGTGTCTTATGGGAAAGATATGTGGGAGGAGCTGAAAGGAAAGGGAAAGTTTCAATTAAAAATATATTTAAAATGGGGGGGGGGGGGGAGCCAGGAGCACTGAAAAGGGCTGGGTGGTAAAGAGCCCAAGATACTCTTCCAGAGGACCTAGGTTCAATTTGCAACACTTGTCTATAGCTATAGCACCAGTGAATCACACAGATATGCATGTGGGCAAAACACCATATACATGAAGTTAAAAATAAATCTTTAAAGAAACAGAAAATTACTTTGCTTTAATTTGGGGGGGGGGGCGGTGGTGGTGGCACCAAGCAGCAAGTACACTTTAAAGGGAATGCACCAAGAAAAATCAGGATCATAAAACAGGCTCAGGTTTTCAAGAAAGCTGCTGTCCCAGGCAATGTGAAAATCAGTCAATCCCCATCACCACTGGATTGCTTCATCCAGCATTGATATGAAGGTTTGTGCCTCATCTTCCTGCATCTTGTTACGCCCTTTTCAGGTGATATCACTGGGAGCCCGGACATTCTCTAAGAGAAATGGAGAAGCAGTGGGTGGGGGGGAGGACTGAGGCTACTGGAACAGTGAAGGAGGGCAGGAGGTTGAGCCAGGATGTATCTTATGAGAGAAGAATGAATTAAAAGAAAAACGAAAATTAGCATACTAATTTTCCACAATATGGAGGAGGGTAAAAAGCAGCAAGTACTCTTTAAAGGAAATCCAAACACCACAAATCAGGGTCATAAATCAGGCTCACATTATCTAGAAACCTGCTGCCCAAGGCATTTTGGGAATCACCTGCAGCCACAGGTCATAAAAACTAGCAATTGGACTTGTCTCTCACATTTCAGTTTCAAAAAACTGTTTATTTAAAATAAACAGGTCCTCTACCTTCCTACTCTCCACTGCAAAAACTGATTCTCAGACCCTGCATGTTGTACCTTGTACGTCAGATACTAAGCAGTGTTACAAGCGCCAACCTCTCAGACTAATGTAAGCCTGATCTCAGCATCTTGAGATCAACTGGGTCTATCTTTCATTTATCTCCATTGACTTATTTCTTATACTCTTCATCACTGAGCCATCATTTAACCACTTTATTTATTTTTATATTTATTCATTTTATGTGTATGCGTGCTTTGTCTGTGCATATGAGACTTTTAGAAAAGTTAATTGGTATAAATGTTAATGGTGTTATAAACTAAGCTGGTTTTATAAGGTTTTTCCCTTTTTATAGACTTACCCTTTATGTTCTTCTTAAAATTAGCAAGGAATCTGAACAAAATTGCCTATTATTTGCTCTTTTTCTTTGTGAATTTTATGTTGAATTTCACTAAAAGTTTCTGCCTTTTAGAAGTCTTCATTTTTTATTAAACAACATGTATAATATTGGATGTTTAGTCCAGACTCCTATTACACATAAAAACCACATCCCATGCTATATAACATTCACTAGACCTCATAGGTGGATCATCCCGTAAATTTACTCACTTAATGCACATGCCAGGTGGACACAGTTTTAAGGCATCAGATTATTAATCACTGTAGTCACATGTGAAATATAATAGGCCCTTTTCTTACCTGAGAGTTTGGTGTCATTCTGTAAGTTGTGATGAGCTTGTGTCCTGGTATCGGAAGCTTCTCCTGCTGAAGGAGCTATGATGTTCCCCAGTTTGGATGTTTTTTCTAGCTTTTCAGTGACCTTGAGGTGTCCTGAACATATGGTGGCAGGGTTAGAGACCTCCTCCACATTTGATTCAACCGATTCCTCATCCTCCTCAGCTTTAGGCCTTTTAGAATGTGACCTATTACCCTGCAGGCTGTTAATAAAAGGAATGTGGTCAGAGGAAAAAATTCAAAATATATATGAAATACACACCAATGAAAATAATACTGTTATATCTTGCTTGTATCAACAAAGAATTAGTTATTTAGAATTTTTACAATTAATAAAGTTGAATTTTCACATTATAAATACCCGATGAGATAACACTATAAAGTCAAGTAAAGCAGAGACATAAACTAAACAGAATAAATAAGAATACAAACATAATACCAGATGGTGCTGTCAATGGCAATCACAACATGGAGGACACAAGCAGTATTTTCACTTCACAGGGTATACATGTAAACCAAAGCAGCTAGCAGCTATCAGGGTTGTGATGGAGCGTTATACTTGTGCATAATTAACACATAATTACTAAAGGCCCATCAACAATCATGTTCAGCCATTGACTAAGAAAAACAAAATATACTTCTGAACATTAAGATTTGTAAGAAATGAGAAGGGTATTGTGATTAAACACTGGCAATCTGTATATCACAGATACATGTACTCTACCAAGTTGAAAAGCCTGGTGACTTTAACAGCTACATCAGCTCATGCAGGTCTACAATGATACTTTGCATGTTTCTCTAGATCTCAGACTGGTATGCTTCCTGAATTGACTACCTAATTACTGTTTGTCAAACTCTGAATGTATTCACAGTGAGTTACACATTTTACTGTGACAAAACTTATAAACATATAAGTTCTCAAACCATTAATAATTATTTCCCACACACTAAGCGCTATTGTATGTCTTAAAAGAATGGAGTTTTTGCTTTATATGTGGTTATTTTGCTTGCATGTATATCTGTGCACTATGTGCATGAAATGACCACAGAAGCCAGAATAGGATGTCAGATCTGTGGAATGGGAGATACAGATGGTTGTTAGCTGCTGCGTGAGTGCAGGGAACTTGAATCATCTGCAAAGCAATCAATGCTCTTAAGATGTCTCTCCTGCCCCACTGTGAAACTTTCAAATTCATTTCATTTTCTAACAATGAAACACCGCCCATGGTATACTGGATTCACTTTTAAACAATATTCTGAAAATCCATGCTGTAAACTAAAGCTGAAATATTATCATGCAAGTTTTAGATTAGCTACTAACTAGTTCTGTCATGAATGTAGGCATGTATGTATGTATGTATGTATGTATGTACCTACCTATCTATCATCTATTTATCTTTATCTTCTAGGTATAATTCCCATCATTGAGGAAGCAGAAACAAGTAGATTTCTGTGAGTTACAAGTTAGTCTGATTTCATATGAATAAAATAAGTTCTGGGTTAACAAAGCCATCATAGCTATGTCTAAAAAAAAAAAAAAAGACAACAACCAAAAAACCCAGCCATTCAAAAAGAAAATTCCATGTTCTGAGGTTTCTCTTGCTCACAACCATTCTAAACAACAAAAATAAATCCAAGTGGTAGGAAGGACAAAATAATCACTAAATTTTGAGGAAATTTTTTAAATTATAGTGCTATTCCAACAAAAACAGAGGTGCCAGAGGTCTAAATGCAGGAGAGCAAATACATGTATATATCAAAAATTATGCTAAAATAATTTAATTACATAAAAAGCAATCACACACGGTCACTCAAATTGTTAATATAGCACAGTATAATTTTGAAAGATGTATAATATTTTTATACCACATTTAATAAATACATATGCAAGAATACATGCCAAATATTAACATGGATAGTTTCATGATAGTGAGTTTAGGAATTATTTGGCTATTTTGGATTTTTTTCCTGGATTTAGAAAATTTCCACAGTTCTCAAATATTATTTTTATAAACTGAAAGATAAGCAACAGTAAAAAAGAAAACCTAAACAAAACATTCCAAACATTAGCAGCTAATATGTAGCCTATGAATCTGAACTATAAGACATACAAAGTCCTAGTCACAAAAGGGGAATAGAAGAAGGTTCAAAATAGACTACCAAGGTACAGAAATAACACTTTTGCCTTTGAAACTTTGAAAAGAATGAAACCAAAAGAATAAAACCACAGCAGAAGCATGCAGATGAGAAAAGAAGTGTCTGAGCTACCGAACCAATGAAAGAAATCATAAACAAAATTTTTAAAAATGGTAGCATATAAGAGTTGGAAATAAAACTATTGAAGTTATCTAAAATATGGTGAATAATGTAAAGACCAAATAAAAGTTCTATCTACATTGATTTCAGAAGTACTCTGCATATGACTACCTGTTCCTAATTTTAGTACACCAATTCAAAAGCTTAACACACATTACCTCAAAATATCAGTAATATACTAAAGATAAGAATAACAGAGACAAACAAATAGTTCTTGAGAACATTTGTTTCCATGATCCATTTCAACAACGTACAAACTACAAGCAGGAAGTGGTGGGGTCCTTACCTCTTGGAAGCTTTTTTCAATTTTCTCCTCCTCTGTAGCCATAGTTTTACTTCAGGGGTAGACTCAGGAGTGGGCTTTGTATGGTCAATAGTATATATATCCTTCCCTTGTTTCCATATTTGGTACCTGTCTGGCTGAAATTTCTTCACAAATATATCCATTGATATCTGCACCATGTCATTCCGGCAAGTGCACTGAAACACAATGAATAATTGGAATAAAAAGTTAAATATTTTACTACCGATATAACATACCATGCCCCTGGGTAGAACATAGATGCTTAATTAAGTTATAAATAATGAAATAGTATATATAACAAACCCCTCAGGATATGAGACTGTAGATACACACTAAGAAATGAGAAAATAAAAGTATTTTGTACATTTCTATGAACTGTGTACCAAGAATAAGTGATAAAGTAGTGTGAGAGTGCATAAGACCGAAGTAGACTTACTGTAGGTAACAATGGTGCAACTGGGACAATATATGAGGCACTGGCAATGAATCCAAGATCTAACTCTATCCCACAAAGTGACTTAGTGAAGCCCATTCTTTATGGAGAGACACCTTGCTTAGCCTAGACACAGGGTGTCAGGGAGTGGAGAGGTGCCTTGATCCAGTCTCAACTAGATGATGGGATAGACTTAGTAGACTTCCTAGGGGAGTCCTTACCCTGTCCAAGGAGCAGATGAGGAAGGGGGGACAGGAGGAGAGGAGGGAGGGAGAACTGGGATTGGAACATAAAATATAAATTAATAATGAAATAATAAATAAAGAAGTATGTAAAGAGAAGCCTTCCCGCCAGCCTGGTTCCAGAGCCACATCAGTCCCAAATAAACACACAGGAGGCTATATTAATTATGAAGCCATTGGCCTTGCTTGTTTCTTACTGGCTAGCTCTGACTTAAGTATTTATCCCATAATTGTTAATCTAAGTATTTCTCTTACTGGAGAACTTTCCGGGCTTCTTATCCCTATGGCAGTTACATTTTGACTTCCTAGATTTCTCCTGTGTTTCTCCTACCCAGAGTCCTCCTCGACTCCTAGTCCCACCTATGTTGCTTCCCTATTGGCCAACAGTGCTTTATTGACATATACACAGGACTTCCACCATCAGAAGTATGTTTGTTTGAAGGTTGTCCAGCAAAGGAACAGTTACCCTACTACCACAGATACCCATCAAAAATGTGTAGCACAGCATGCAGTGTTTGTAGGAAATGATTACTATCACAGATATGCATCGAATTCCAAAGTAGTAACACTATATGGGATGTTTGAGCCAATTTAGGCACAGTCTGAACATTGCCCAAAGGTCCACTTTAATTAAAAGCTTGGTACACAGGGAAGGAATATTGGTAGGAGAGGCCTAATTAATGGTTTTTAACTCACTGAATGTATCAAAAAGTTCTCATGGCATTTCACTGGTAGTTAGTTATAAGTGAACCTTTGGGACTTCTCTTATGAAAAGCTTGGTGTGAAAGGAGAAAAGCAGGCCCCAACCATCCTTAGCTCCTCCCTTGGGAGATGGGAGGCTTTACACCTGTATCATTGCTGGGATGATCTGCCAGTGTTTGCTATTCTTACCAGAGACCCAAATAAGAAGGTCTTACCCGTTTTTTTTGTTGTTGTTGTTGTTGCTGTTTTTAACATCTAAAGCATTGATCTCTGTACATAGCTGTATTAAGGCATTTTATTGGAGCACTGCAAAGTTGCCAAATAAATCTGGAATGTCAATGAATGTGTGATTTGAATAATTTAAACAGTGAGTCATCAGTGAGATGGCTGGGTGGGTAAGAGCAGCTGTTAAGCCTGACAACCTGAGTTCTATCTTGGGAGCTCACATGGCACAAGAAGAGAACTGACTCTACCAGGTATACTCTTAACTCCATGTGCATACAGTGGTACACATGTGCCAAGACACACACATGTGCATCTACACACGGTACAAATAAGTAAATGTAAAAGAAATATTTAATTATATTTGTTGTAATTAATAAACACTTGCAGCTGGAGAGATGATTCTGCAAATAAAAGCTCTTGTTCTTGCAATAAGATTCAGGTTCCATTTCCAGCAATCAAGTGGTAGCTTACAAACATTCACAACTACAGTTCCAGGTCTGACACCCTCTTCTGACTTCCGCAGGCACCAGGCACGCAGGTGGTACACAGACTTATACGCAGAAAAAAAGCATTCATACACATAAAATAAAACAAATTCTTGCAAAGTAACTCAAAATTGTAAACAAAAGTTTCTTCTACATTATGTCAAAGATAACACACTAACCAAGCATACCTAGTAGAGAAAGGAAAGCATTAAAAGGATTAAGAAATTCATATGAACCAGGCTGTGGTGGCCTATGCACTCAGAAGGCAGAGCCAGGTGGATATCAGTGAGTTCCAGGACAGTCAGGGCTACACAGAGAAACCCTATCTTGAAAAACCAAATGGAAAACTGTTTTTTTTTTTTAAGTTCAAATGAGAAGTTATTCCGAAACTACTAGAAGATTGTTTCTCATAAATACACAGTGATCAAGCAATACCTTAAGAAATAAGCTTTCTATAAAAACTTCACATAATTTAATTAGGCTGAGGCCAACAGTTTATGCATCAAGTAATGGTGCAGCAATAGTATCATTAATTTAGCTGCTATATTTTAATAATTCCTTACAAGCCTGGTAAAAGAAGAGATTAAAAAATATGCTTGACACATGATTATAGTATCGTAGTGGCACAATTATCACATGCAAATAAAATAATTCCAAATTTAATTTCTACGGTCAAATTTCCCATAATAAAACTCTAAAATTTTGTTTGGTGTTTTTGGAAGCAGAATATATCTAGGTAGCCCAATCTTGTAATTGTATGTTATTTATGATTTATTAAAGCTTGCCTGAGGGTTCATAAAGCAAAGTCAACCACAAGTCATATAAGCTAGGCACACACTTTTAAACCCTAGCAGCCAGAAGTTAGGATGTAGTGGTACACAACTTTAATTCTAGAAGTCAGGATTAAGGGGTAGACAGATTTCTGGGAGTCCAAAGCCACCCACATCTAAACAAAATGGATCCAGTCCTTAAAAGAAACAACTCACACAAAGATGATCTCATCACCTGGGACCACACGCCTTTAACGTCAGCATTAGGGAGGTACAAAAGACAGTAGCAAGGTCTCGGTATCAGACATTCATTCTCCAGCCAAGTTGACAATAGGAAAGCACCAGTTGTGTCAGAGGTAAGAGCTCTCTTGATAGCTTGGCTGCTTTGATTCCCTGATCTTCAGGTTGAACACCAATATGTGTCTCTGGGCGTTTTATTTTTCATGCTACACAATCTGACCAGAAACTGTTTATCTGTGGAAGGTTATCCTATTATAATCCTGTGACAAAGAATATATAACATGCAACCTCAGACCTTGAGTACTCCAAGACACCTACTAATGTTATCTAATACAAAAATCATAAAATCACTTAATATATTAGAAGACTGGTCAGGCCTTTGCTGTTGCTATTTTGGTAATGTGAACTATGTTCTTGGCAATAATGTATTGTAGTGTTGAAATCACACATGCCAGTTCTGGACACAGTGCTGTATTCCTTTAACCCCAGGAAAGACAGGAGGGTCTCTTGAGTTTCAGACCAGCAAGAGCTATCAGCTCTAAACTGCTATTTCAGGCACAATATCTTTGCTCTGCCATCATGGGAATCCAACCCACTGGAAGCATAAACCCAAACAAACTTTTTTTCTATAAAAACAATGTACATCAAAACAACTTTTTTCCATTAATAAATTTAAGAAATTGTTGGTCATTTCCAGAGCAACTTAAAGAAAAATAAATCATTGAAACTATCATTGATATTCTTCAGAAAACTTCTACCTAAAATATATAAATTGCATTAGTTACTTCTCTAATTGATGCTATAAAACACCATGGCCATGGCATCTTTGGGAAGGGTTGTTTATTTTGGCTTAAAATAAGCTTCTAAGTACTAGGATAAGCTACAAACCTAGTGCAATGGAAACTCTCCAGAATCTATGAGGGAGAACCTAGTTAAGACTCCTAGCAAAGGGAGATAAAGAGCCTGAAAAGGCCATCTCCGGTAACTAGGCAGACTTCCAGTAGAGGGATTAGAACCCCCAACCCAGTCAGTCACATAACCTCTGACCTTCAATTTTCCCTGCCTACAAGATATACTGAGTGAGACAAAGGTGATGCAGAAATTATGGAAGTGGCTAACTAATGACAGGACTAGCTTGAGATCCATACTGTGAGAGGGAGCCCACCCCAGAAACAGCCTGGGGGCAAGGATCCAGAAGCTAGACAGTCCAGAGATAGAACCAACATGACTGATAAAAAGGAAAAAACAAGTCAATGAAAATGATGTGACAGACTTTGATGATTTCCCCATGGAAGACCTCACCCTTTGTCTGGAACAGGAAGAGGGATCGGATGGGGGTCGGTAGGGGACATGGGAGGATGAGAAGGAGAGGAAATTGGGATTGTTTCTAATTAATATTTTTTTAAAAATCAATGAAATGATTCTAATGACATTCTGCCATACTAATAGATCAGTGCCTAGCCAAATTGTCATCAGAGAGGCTTCATCCAGCAACAGATAGAAGGAGATTCAGAGACCCAGAGTCAAACATTTAGACCTCGGGAATTCTGTGAAAGAGGGGAACGAAGAATTATGGGAGCCAGACGGGCCAAGGACACAACAAGAAAATCCACAGAATCAATTAACCTGGGCTCATAAGGGACTCACAGAGATGGAACACCCAACCAGAGAACTTCATGGGACTAGCCTAGGCCCTCTGCACATACATTACAACTATATAGCTTGGTCTTCTTATAGGACTCCTGACAGAGGGTGCAGGGACTGTTTCTGACTCCATTACCTGCTTTTGGGATCTTTTTCTCCTACTGGATTGCTTTGTCCAGTCTGAATAGGAGAGGAGACGCCTGTTGTGCCCAAATTCTGAACCCCAAAATCACCAAGAGGCCCATTTCGATGCAAAAGCAAAGAGTCTTTTATTGTAGATGTTTAACAAGCTAACCCCATTAGCTCGGGCCCTTCACCCCGCCACCATGGCAAATGGCTGGAGAAAGACCCCAAGCAACCTCGAGGTAGGGATCTTAAAGGGCAGCGTAAGGGGAGTGTCTAGGGGTATGAAACAGTCTCAGGATTGGTGAGCTT